CTGTGAAGAAAATAAATCGAACAAAGAAAAATTGTTTAAACGCGCGTCGGCTCAGTCATCTTAAGTCGCAACAACCAATCAGAGATGCGAAATGCCGACACGTGACGCGGGATTTGGGGAAGGGCGCGCGATGCCCGAAATATTTTTGCGTCAATATTCAGCGTCGTGTTTCAAGAGATTAATACCGAGAAACAAATTCTTTTCTTGTTTTGAACGCATAAACATGCATTTACGCTAATCTAGTATGATTCAGGGTTACTTTTTTTTAACCTGCCATGGCCAGATTATCTAAAGATGTGTGTATTGTGTATACAATCTACAGAAAGAGAAATGTACATCAGGTCCGATCATCCGATTTTCACGTTTCGGTTTTTTGGACTCGGTTCATGAACGTATTTTGGTTTGGCTCCTGGAATGTGCGAAAAAAATGACTCCCGGGACTGTCTACAGGGAACACTCGCACATTCGCGGTGTATCAGGACAGCGCGACTGGTCGGCATCAGCGCAGTCCCTGCAAATTAGTAACAGTTGCATAAACGGACGAAAACATTTCAAAGAAATGGGGATGTTTCGAAAATAAGCATTTTCTCCAATATCAAAACAGCTACGGTAAAAATAAAAAGACGTGCATCATCCCGGACATAATGCCACACCACATGCGAAATTACACAGAAATGCGACGTACGGAAGAATGCGTTTTGGCTGCGAACATCTTCCAAAAAACCTGGCATCTCTTAACCATGGGCAAAAACATCTGGAACCACTTAAAAAAACCACCCCGTATCTGCATGAACTTTTACCCCCCCCACTGCTATTCCAAACAACGCGTTTTTCTGGACCATTCCAATTCGCCTCGTAATTGTAGGGGTGCGTCTGCAATATTACATTGACCGCAAAAGCAGCAACGGCAAAAATACACATTCGTGCATCAACACGGGCATGCCCGCAGACGGCGTATAAAATTGCGTGCCGATTACACAAAGAGAACCCAGTGTTTTGACTGCGAACATGAAAAATCAGCCGATTACAACACTCCGTCCGGAGGTCCTGACCTCCTTCACGGAGTAATAACTGCACTAAGATGATACGGAAACTTCCAATTCAACTTCTTTGCTATGCGGATACAGTAACACTTTTTATGTCATACCTGGGCCGCGATAACATTCAATACAGGTGTTCCCGCCCAATAACTAACCCCGAATTCGGATGTTGGAGGAATTGGCACCGTTACATTTTTCGTTTAGATACACATTTCGCATTCTCGGGTGGGTATGACATAAATAAAATACAACACGGTGTATTACACATCACCCTTGGTCCCAGCCCTCCTGCGATCCGACCCACGGTCTGGCTGGTACCTCGGGCGATACGGAATACACCGTTTAGTACTCTACATGTATATTTATGACCTGTAGCTAATCTATAAAGCATTTCTAATGTGACTTGTAATGTCTATGCAACGTTGTTGATCCAGTCTTCCACTCCTGTGACATTCAGTTTTCCCTCCAAACAGCTGCATTCCACAAACACCACCTGCTGCTGCAGCTGCGTAAACTCAAAGTCTTTGTCCTTCCTCCCCAGGAAGGTGTTGTTGTTGCCACTACTGCCATCTGTACCTGTTGTACACATAAATTTAAAAAAAATTAATAAAAAAGGTAAAAATCAGATCACAATAGATCTACTCTTCTGGTATGAGAAGATTTAGAAGAAGTCAACAATCAAAATAAAATATTTAAACAGTCAAAGATTTAAATGTCAGTAATTCCACTCTGTACAAAATGTTTAAATTACATTCATAACAGCTTTCTCTTTAAAATATCAGCCTTTGTAGCTTTCATGCGCTCCCTACAATCCACTATCGGTCAAAAAGCAGATTGTGGAGAGTAGACAAAAGCTAAAAAGGCTGACACTCAGGCTATCAAAATGTACTTTATTCTTAAAAAGTGTTATAGGATTATCACAGCATTATTACATAATGCTATGTTTGACAGAAAATGCAATACTTCATCATCATACCTTCAAGAGCTGCCTGGCGAGTGACTCGCAGCATGTTGATTTCCTTCTCAAGCATCCCCTTCACAACCTTCTCCGACTTGGCCAGCGCCATGTCCTGCTTGTTACACACGATCAGGAACGGGGTTTTTGCCAGCGCTGCGTCCACTAGCAGGATGTACAGGAACTCGGCGATGTCCCGAAGGTCGCGCTGAAATGTGGAAGAGTCCAGCAGGTAGACAATGGCCTTGGCGGCCGCCTTGTGCTCGTCTAGGTTTAGGAGACGGAGACGCTCATGTCCTGGCAGGTCTACAAGCTGTGGGGAGGATGGAACAACGAATGATATCAGGATCCCTTCTTTTCCTTAAGCTGGGTATATGTATTGCTACACTTTCATTCAACACAGGGCACTTGAATCCAGTAAGACACCTGGGAAATAAAAGGAAAATCTTTATACTTTTATAGTCAAATACATGTAACTGTACATGTACTTAAACCAAGGCCTCCCCCCCCCCTAAAGTGCCCCATCAGGGGCTATATGGGGGTGTAGCCGGGGCTCACATAACATCTTTGAGCCCCGGCAACGATGATGATGAAGATGTTACATAGGACTAGTAGTTATTATCCTTTCAACAGTGGACAGCACCTGTTCTGACCCACCTGTAGACTGCCTTACACTGACACCTGACTGACACCTGTTCTAACCCACCTGTAGACTGCCTTTCTTGCCCTCCTGCAGGTTATATGTCCCCTGGTTCTTCTTGATGGAGGTGTGAGTCTTCACTGCTTTTCCCTCTGTTAGCTGGGAAAAGCACACAGAAACATGTTACTACAATGCATATTATGTTACAATCATTGCTTATCTACAAGATACTTTCTGTAGTTGTAGTTGTGGTGACCAGTCTGATAGTTTTCTTTCCATATGGTGACATGACAAAACCCCTCTGATATCATGCATGGGATTGGTAAACATAAAACTGGGCTACAATGTTTATTTAGTTTACATTAATTCTACAGACGATAAGAATATATGTATTCGCCTTAAATTACAAACCTTGTTTTGATAAGTTAAAATCGGGAGAGGAAAAAGATGACTTCCGCTGCCCCCCTCCCCACGTACCTGCCCAAAGAGCGTTGTCTTTCCGCTATCGCACAGCCCCACCAACAGGACGGCATTTCTGCTGCTTCTGCCGCCGAAGGCGAACTTCAGGAGCACGGCGGTGAGCACCACAACCAGCAAAGCTACGAGCACGGGCACAATCATGGCAGGGTCCAGCATATCCGCCACGCTAGCGTCAGGCATCTTGGAAACTCTGGAGAGGCTCTCTATGTAGTTTTCACTCAACACCTTTTGTAGAGTTTAGTAATAAAAACGACGCTTAAGTTGCCAGTTGACTGATCTTAAAATCCCAGAAAAATGTATAATAGAGAAAAAGTTGATATGAATCTCAGTTAGATCTGCTAAATTTTAGCTGGGGTCGGAAAATTATCCGGTTTCTGGAAAACCTACATTGTATCCTTCACATCTTGACCTTTCAACTCAAGTGAGCAAAAAGAAGGGTAGCAAACGTAAACGGTCTTCATGGTTTCTTGATTTGTGACCAGTGTTATGCCATTATCTAAAGTTATTGATATTTTTCTGTTAGTATTATAATTATTTCTGTTTTGTTGTGTTATTTTAAACTCTTTAAGCTCATCATTCTTGGTCAGTCATTACAAATATCTGTTTTGTATTTACATGTCATCGCCCCCGCGTGATCTCCACACATGTGAGTTGGGATGTTGCAACATTTTTGACTGAGAAACTTCTAGTTCTAAGGAGAAATTATGGCCGTGGCCTTCAGCAGTGACAGTTCGGACGTCATCAACAGATGTCTCGGCATCTCCTCTCCTTCCAAAACGTCTTCTGATCTGGTGGAAACGGTGTACGAGGTCCCGAGATGCGTGGAGTGGGTGAAAGAACACAACTTTCAAAGGGTAGGTAACAGATCAAGGAGATACACCCCCTCCCCCTATAAATTTCACTAGCAGCAGAGAGCACACATTGAGTTCGATCATGAAGCTGATACTGTTTGTAAAAGACTGGACGGTTCATATTGTCCATGCGCTGAGTACTGTCCCTGGTACTGAAATCACAGTCTCTCAGCAGAGAGCTTTGTGTGTTTTACCATATGTGGCAAATAGAGAGACACCTAACTTCAAATATGCTATTGAGATTATTACAGAAATAAAGATACTGCAATATAGACAGGAACTTTATTTATTGAACATTCATTGTCAAAACGTTGCAACTGTAAATATCATCATCATTGTTCTTCCGGATTTTTAAATATAATTTAACGTTATATAAGACCTTAAAAAATTGTCTCAGTTGTCACATTTCCTGTATCTCAGTAATAGAAAGTAATTGATTGTAATTAAATAAGTCGATTCATTAATTAATGCCCAGCATGCCCGGAACAAAATATGATAAATTTATGAAACTATAGACAAACACCTATAATTGAATAATAATTTAAAGATTCAATATCTCTGTGTACATCTCAGGTTGCCCTGCAGTTTCCAGACTGTCTCCTGGTAGATGCCACAGAACTCACACTGAGGATAGAAAAGGAAACTGGGGCAAAGGTGTATATCTTAGGGGACACGTCATATGGAAGGTAAGTTAGACCTATAACATCAGACCTATAAGAAAAGTAACATAGACATTATACAAGTGAACTTTTTACACTGTAATTTGGCCAGTTCCTTTTCAACTTGCCCAGACAGTCTAGTAGAGATTACATTTACTCAACTTGATCAAATGCCTTCTTGTCAGTCTATGACAAAACACATTTTTCTTCTGCCCACAGTTGCTGTGTAGATGAGGTGGCAGCCCAGCATGTGACTGCAGACTGTATTGTCCACTATGGCCGGTCCTGTCTCAGCCCCACCTCCCACCTGCCTGTGCTGTTTGTGTTCTGTTGTCGACCTGTGGATGTGGAACACTGTGTGCAGAGTTTCAGGGACCTGATACCTGACCAACACAGCAGAGTCATCCTCATGTCTGATGTCACTTATTCTGCTAGCATGAGTAAGTATAATATCTGTATCTGTATAGGCAGTATAACTGCCCTTTGGCGTAACACACCAGCTTTGCAGGCACGTGGCACGTCAGCAGCTGTCTACATTACACTGAACGACTTGTTACACCTAACTCTTGGACATCTAATTCTAAACAATGTTTAAAGCTATCTAATGATAATGCCCCTACTGTACTTGGTGAGAGCGAGTTCCACTCTGTGATAGTTCTAGGAAAGAATGAGTTTTTGAACACCTCAATCCTTGGTTGATAACTCTGGTACTTGAAGGCATGACTATTTCTTGCTCTTTTCTGAGCTGGTATTAGGTACAATGTACCTAGTAGTTGGTATGTCCAGTAGCTTTTCATGATAATGAGTTCTACAGTCCAACTCGTATACACACCTGTGCCATCCCTTGTTGAATATTGTCCCTAGCCCTGATGTTACAATGTTCAGTCATCAGTAGTTCAGTACTAATGATCTGAGTGTTTGTATGTTTCAGATGACATCAGTACCAGGCTTAGTCAGCAGTACACACATTTGGTCACCTCCAGTCTCAACATACCAGACTCCAAACTGGATACAGAGTCCTCTACAGTTAACAGTACATCAAGAAAACAAGACTCTCCAAACCAACATAGTCAAGTCATCAGTAGGTTTGGAAGGACGTTCTGTCTCCAAGCAGATACAGAGTTGGACTCCTACTCAATCTTCTACATCGGAGAAGAAAGTCTCACCTTAACCAACCTCATGATGGCATACAACAGGTGCACATTCTACAGCTACAACCCAGAGGAAAAGAACTGTCGGAAGGAAACTCTCAATGTCAACAAGGCCTTGATGAAGAGGTACTACATGGTAGAAAAAGCCAAGGAGGCAAACGTTGTAGGAATTGTTGCAGGAACACTCGGAGTCTCGGACTACCTTACTATGATCAACAACTTGAAGGAGGTTATCAAGAAAGCAGGGAAGAAAAGTTACACGTTCGTCATGGGGAAGTTGAACGTGCCAAAGCTGGCGAATTTCATGGAAATCGATGTGTTTGTGCTGGTGGCGTGTTCGGAGAACACTTTGATTGACTCGACAGAGTTCTACCGTCCAGTGGTGACTCCGTTTGAGATGGAGCTGGCCTGCAACAGCTGCCGAGAGTGGACAGGAGAATACGTCACAGACTTCAGAGAACTTCTTCCAGGTAGGGCTTAGAAAAGTATCAGCTATCTCTGTCATCAACATTCATTTTCTATGATATGTTGGCAACGTCAAGGAAGCTGTTTTGTTAAAAACAAAATTTTAGTGCAGTTCCAATGCAAAGAGAAACAGGACTGGTGTGTCAGAAGTAGTGAATCATTCTCTGAGAAACCTAGCCTGGTTACCAGACCTAGTACAGCTCCCAATTCCTACATCCTCTCTGCAATGTAGGACTCGGGAGCTATAAAAGGTCTGGTAACCAGGCTATGATTAACCTTCACCACACTGAAGTAGCCACTTGGCTACCAATGCTCTACTGATTACAGGTTCACTGGTTCAGGCAGCAGGTACTTAGTAGAACATTAAGGCTGAGGGTACACCCAAAGACTTTCTTCAATGTAATTCACAACCACATCATGTGTTGTTTATTTATTTTTACAGGTGCACCATCACACGTGCCTATGAGTGAAGGGACAGGTGAGGATGAAACAGACGTGTCGCTGATCTCAGGTGGGATGAGGAGGGTGGGACTGAGAGATGAGGAGACAGCAGGCAGTACAGCTGTAGTGAAGAGAAATGACGTCCTCACTGTGGCAGAGGTCAACACAGGAGGTATGTGCTGCTGTTCTTATGTGAACTGCCAAGTAGCGCTTTTGTGTATTCCATATAATCCTAATTTTAGAAGAATGACATTTAGAAGAACCATGGAAGAACTATACATTTCTTATTGGCAAGTTATTTATGTACCAATGAAATTGTGATATGAAATTGTAGAGTAAGGGCTTCCAAATGTTCCATATAATAATTTGAATGCATTTCACACTCACCGAGTGCTCCGCTTTTGAAACTTTGAACGCTAAATTCAGATGTTGGAATTGACGCTGTTACGCTTTTTGTTTAACTTACCAAATTTTGGTAGATTTCACATTGAAATGTCTGTTTTCACAGGTGGGTATGACATAAATAGAATACAACACGTGTATTCCGCATCACCCTCGGCCCTCCTGCGAATCGGATCTCCCTTTGGCCCATCTGACCCGCGGTCGGGCTGGTACCTCGGGCGATACGGAATACACCGTGTAGTATTCTATATGTCTCCTTTATACTCCTCCTTCTTCCTCCACAGCATCCTTCCTGCAGTCTCGATCATGGCAGGGTCTGGAGCAGCAGCTGGGAGAAACAGAAGTCAGCGCTGCTGTAGAGGGGAGGAGGGGGATAGCAGCCGGGTACAGTCATGAACCAGGGGCTGGGGGGGACAAGGAGGGGCCTCAGGCATAATAGAGATGTCTCACAGACTGCAGACTTGCAGGCATTACCGTACTGGTTGCCTGAATGGCTCTGTGGTCAACAACATGCTATGAAAATTCTTATCAAACCATTGTTTGTTACATATTGCAAAACTTTGTACTAGTATTACTTTGCATTCATCATTATGTATTCATCACAATGCAGATATCAGATGCAAAGGGCTATCAAAAGTACAAGTCACGTTTTTTTTAGCTTTTATTCCCTTCATTGAAAAATAAACCTGTCTACTGTTACAACTAATTCTACTACGTAGTAAGTAGAATTCTCTGTATCTTAAAGTTTATTTCCTTAGACTAAACCTGATATTAGTAGTTATCACAAATGTATTGCAATGTAGTAATAATCACAAATGTAGATATATCTCTATTGACTGTTACATGTACCTTAACCCTTACATTTCTCTGATTCTTCCACAATTATACATGTACATGCTTTGTGAAAAATACAAATGTTGCCACTGTTGGCAAGATACTGAAAGAGGAAACTGAGCAAAAACAATATGTTTTTGCTCAGTGGTGACCTGTAAGCATAAATATCAGTTAATGGCGGTATATCCATCCCTGGTGGTCCTGCGTCCTCTGGTACAGACAAAGTACGTCACGATGGCGATGATGATGACTCCGCCCAGGGACCCACCTGTCACAACCGCCACCAACTCATTATTACTGCTCCGCTTCTGTCAACGTGGAAAATGTGTCGTAAGCGATTGATTTAAATTCTAAGATTCTAAAAGCTACATCATTATGAGTACGATATATCTTATGGTAAGAACCCAAGCACGAAACGTATAGATATTAATGATTAAGAGTTTAACCATGGGGATAATTAGGCATTGAACTATTGATATACATGTACTTATATACGTAATATAATTATATATTTGAAAGAGTCCTCCAAAACACGTACCATCCCACAATCCTGTGCGGTAGAAAACTGTCCTTTGTTGACCCCGAAGGCTTGCACGTGAACTAGCCGGGTGTGCAGGGTGACGCTTGTTGTTAAGACAAAGTCCCTGTCTTCAGAACACCTGTAAGATTTGCCAGAGCTAGCCCTGAACATGTCCAGCGTTACGTTAGACGCGCTTCTCTTGGCGTTTGGTGTCTCCGTCTGGGGAAAGATTCCTGGTACCTCCACGTAATGGAGGTCAACAGAAGACAGGTGGAAGAACCTCCCTCCGTCCACCATTTGGAATGAAAGCGTGAGATCAAAAGTTCCACCGTAAAAAGACAACGTGATGTTAGATACTGTCTTGTCACAGAACCCTGACGTAACAGCGTCGGTTGGGACGTTGAAAACACCTATTCCATGTCTATGGCCCAGTTTTGCGTAAGCAATGTCGAACTGTAAAGCCATGTAGGCGAGCAAGCAAACGTCGCCAGTCGCGTTTTTCAAAACGTAGCGGCCCTGCAGTGGTTCGGGAGGAGCTGTAGGGGGCGCTGTTGATGTAAACGGCACCGTGGTGGAAGCTGGCGTCGTGTGGTTGCCAGGGGCAACGCTGGATGCCGGTTGTAAGGTGAAGCTGCCATTCGTAGGTCCAAGTGTAGAAGCAGGGCCCAGCGTTACGTTAGAGGGCACTGTGGGTATCGTGCTAGCATTGGCCAGGGGGATTTCCGAAGTGACGGCCGGTGGTGTGGTTACTGGAGTGGGGGTGGACGTATGGTGATCTCCTGCACATCTTTCCGCTTTGGCGAACCTATCGTCTCTGTTGACAGAAGAAAAAAGTCACGGAGGCCAGATGACGTTACAGAAACATGATGTCAAGAAAAACGGAACGTGAAGAAAGAAGTTACATCTTCGAGGAGCATAGTCCATCCACTAATCCTGTCAAATTAAAAAAAAATCAGCTACAATTTTTGAAACACAAAGCTCTTTGCTGAACAGCTTGACACTTGAAAACGACCGTGCTAAGGTCTTATTTTCATAACGTTACATGTTACACAGAACACTGTGAAGACATTAACAGAAGCTATATGAAGACAACAGTCATAGGTATACTTGACTACCAAACACTAGTTACCATGGTGACAGACGTCTGGTTCAGGTCATTGGCAGCTTATTGGTCTGGAGAAGAAGAGGAAACAGAGCAAAAACAACATGTTTTCCTTAGGTAAACATAATACTAATACCTGACGTCGAAAGGTTGCACGTGAATGTAGTCGAAGATCAGGTCTGCATTGGGATGGACGCCGGGAGCTTCGTCAAAATACGGGAACGTCAGGTTGAATACGGTCAACCCGCTCTCGCACAGGAACGACCTCCTCCTGAAGAACCCCGACCTGGTCTCCATCTCCCGCAGGTTGTTCAGGAAGGGACTGAAGAAGTGGTTTGGGAACTTGGCGTCTGGGAAGAGAGACGGGTCCTGGCGATAGAATGAATGAACAGAATAGAATGAAGACCTTTATTGTACATTTTGCCCACTGGGTTAAGCACAGATCACATAATTACAATCATATACATAACTACATATAACTGTTACATGTAACGTTATATATATATATATATATAAATGTCTAATGCATTCTAGTCGCTTCTTAGTCATTGTATAAAATGTATATGAGCCGTAATGAGGCTGCAATGCATGAGTAGCTAGATTTGGTTTGTACATGTCAAGGCTATTAAACAGGAATACTAGTATAACTTTTTCTTTACCTGTCGGTAATACACAACCGCCTCCGCTAGCCAGAAGTGTTCCATGACGAGTTTTTCCCGCGAGAAACGCAGGTAGAGCCCGAAGTCCCAGTCCCAGGGGACGTGCAGCAGGAGTACGGCTTGGTTCTCCCCGTCCAGCCGGTTAGGACAGGTGGACTCGTACGCCACGGAACAGTTCCCGGGCAGGGCGTACTCCGCCGCCGCCGTGGTGTTGTCCGTCTTCACGTACCGGATCCGGAACGTGGCGGCCAGGTCGGCGAGGAAACACGTCTCGCCATGCTTGTTCTTCACGGCGTAGTGCCCGACTTCAGGCGGTGTTCCCGCCATCTCCTCCCCGCCAACAGGAATAGAACAACACAAGCACAGGACAACAAGTCCAACGGCGACTATGTGAGGATAAGTCATGGTTCCCCACACATACAGTCACGCTTAAGAGCAAGTATATGGCATCAGATAGAACTAGTTTTACAAAACAAGAAGATTAATCATTAATTCGTTAGTAGAGTTAGACTTCGACCGATCTACGTGTTTGGAATAATAATGACCAACTCTAATTCTGTAGCCTAAAGGCCAAGAGTGGGAGACCCACTAGTACGTTATTAGATATGTATAATGTATTAAGTTGGTGATGAGATATGTAATAGTTAGACCAACCATTGAGAGATTGAAATATTGTCTGTAACCATCTCTTTGCCAATGTAATTCTCCCATGTCGGTCCTTACAGATTTTGGCACGCGTCTGTTTTGAACTCTGCCCCTCACATGATGCACCTGTTTCCCTTCACAAACCTCGTGCCCAGGGCACCGTGCGGATTATCCTGGACACGAGAGTCGGGTAAATGATCAATTTCTCAGCGAAACCGATCAATTTCATCAACATATGAAGCCGACCTCATCTGCGTCACAGGTTTTGAAGGGGGCTATACTTTCATTCAGGCTTCATAAGTATCGATCGACTGTGTCCTATAACAGCACGTTGTAAGGGGTACATTAGCGTTAGCGCTTCGTTTGCGATCTTCACCTCTAGATTTTGCTGGTGTGGTTTTACGCTAATCTGTCGTCGGCCGTACGTGGACCGTGGCGCTCTTTCCGGTCCACTTCAGACGTTTGGATTACGCAGTACTTTCACCTGCCTCTTACTCTAGTCCCGCCCTTTGTGAAAATGACCAGCGCATGAACGCGAGGTGTTGTCTTCTACTGTTGGGAGCAATAGAAAAACGGGGTCGACTTCGCCACTTCTCATGACATCACCAGTTGGCGGGTTGAAATGGATCTCCTAATGGATGTTCCGGGGTGGTAGGAGGCAATTAACAAGTTGTTTTCTCTGTTGTGGCCCGATCGCGTTTCGAGAGGCTCTTGGTCGGTTCCCAAAAAGGCCGTGTGGGTTTCTGCTACCCGAGCCCCGCCCCATTCAGCCCACTTCACTAGAGTGGCCCCCATGCGTGGAAAATACGACCAGGAAGAGAGCGAGAGAGAGTCTGGTTCTACCCCGGCCCGGCGCTCTGCACACCCGGCCCACCAGTTGGAGTACTACGCGTGGAGGTGAATAGGGGCTTGTCAAAGAGCGAGATTAGCCAGGTTGATAACGCAGGCAGAGTGTTTGTATGTGGCCGGTTGTAAACCACTCGGAGAGGGTGTGTGGTGGCAGGTCTCTGCTGGACGTGACGCACGCTGAGAAGACACCGTCCGAACCGCTCCTCACGAGCGTGACAGCCTGAAGGAACGATCCGGTTACAGGTGACATCAGCGCCGGAGTATGGGGGACTAGTAGTACGGGCTAGGTACAACGGGACTAGCACCTTTTAACAGTTACGGACACAACAGGGGTGCAAGGGGTGCACAACGCGGGGACATTTCACCGGCGGGACCGTTATGTTGCTACAAAACATGGACGACGGGCTAGCGCGGGAAATCAGGGAGTTGGAGACTAAGATGGGCAAAATTCCCACAAGCCTGCTCAATTCCTTTAAGGAATCCAACAAGGAGGAGGAGGAAGAGGGGGGAGGGGTTGAAGTCGGTCGCGAGGAAACTTTAGTAGAAGGAGGGGACCGTGAGAAGGAAGGAGTGAATGAGAAGCAACAGGGAGGACAGGAAAAGCCTTCTTCGCCAATCGACAAGCAGCTTAGTTTCGTCAAAGCAGAACTGGTGAGTAACTGTCCTTCATTTGCCACAGTGAGGTCTGTCTGGGTAGACTATATCAAATAAACGATTAAAGACTAGCTGCTCGGATCAACAGTTTGTGCCACCGTAAGTACACAGAGCAAGACCAGATCAAGATGTACACAAGACAGTCTTCAGCCTTCAGTACGACTGTCCACGACTGATGACACAAAATACATAATATTTATCTGTAGTAGAGTAGGGTTGTAAAACAGTTCTATGTTTAGAAAGACCATAACAAAGTGGTTCAAGGAGGGGGTATAGGCTAGGCCGTACAGGTGTATGTATGGGGAGTATTGTAGTCAATTAGGGTAAGGGTGATAGCAGTAACTACGTACATGATATAGGTGGGCGCACGCTGACATAAGATACACGACTTGACAACAAGGGCGTTTTCTTACACGCAGGTTAAATTTGTCCCTCTCCTGGTTAAACAAGGCACCTCCGAATACGTAAGCCATTGACGCTAACAGTGTTCATCAATTACGTGCTGGGGTCAATTCATAATGGCCCAGGCAAAGTGGGAGCGGGCCAAGGCTAAATTGGGAAGATAAGACTCAATGTACGAACGTGCCAGCATGAAAGGCCGCAACCTTTACCCGGACTGTTGTCGGCGGGCTGGGTTTTCAAAGTGTGCAAATAGCGGGGCTCTTGAGTCTGTTGCCCCGTATTTACCCATGCTTTAGTACCTAGAGAACCCGGCGCCCTGAAGAACGCCCCCAAGACACCTTCAGGTGCTACACACGTCGCCTTGTGAGACACAAGACAAGGGAAGCACAAGGAGAAAAGAGTAAAAGAAAGCCCGCTTTGTATCACATGCCTGGGTTGGCGTGAGGTTTTCTTAAGGGCGGTTGTTCAGAATTGGTAAGCAGGAATTAGGGTCAGCTATCACAGTGTACACATTGGGGGAACAGCGGTGCCTTGTGTTATACCACAGGTAAAAAGACACGAGATTTGTAATAAGATAGAGCTTCCGTCCTGGAATGTACTGAAAAAGCTTTGGAGGGGTTTTGGTTTTGTGTCCTGGGATCTGGAAAGAAAGGGTCTTCTCTGTACAGGATATATGTGGTCCCTGTATGCGTTTGCGTTGGGCGGAGTCCTCGTTAAAAAATCACGCATGCCTTGGTACCAAAGGCGAGGAAGGTGGCAGGGGTGGGTGTTAGACGTCACATACACCGTGTCAAAATCTCCTTCCGATTGGATCGCCGTGTAATTAAATCAAATCCCAGTCAATAAACGAGTACATCAGACCGTCGCAAAATGATTAGAAGGAACATTCATTAATATTTAAGGTACCACCCAGAAAATAAAGGATTCATCTTGGGGCTTCTTTAGTTTTATAAGTATGAAATGCTGACTCACTACGTGACAATGTGAAGCAATATGTGTCAATATCACAGAATATTTCGACTTCCGCTGCCCTGAAAGCGCGTTGGATGCCTTTGAGCAGCGCATGCACAATGTATATACTACATCTGCTTGGAGATTGCATGCACTTGAACCTAGTATATTTGCATACGAAGTCGCGCGACCTCCGGGGTCACAGGCGAGTGCCTCTCTTTACGTCTCTTCAATAAAAACTCTCAAGGACTCTTGTTAAAAACTACGTGAACAAAGCTAACAAAGTACACGTCCTAAACCTCAGTGGTGGATCGTTACCACCTGACAGATCGCTGTACAAATCCTATTTTACCTCGGGCAAGGAGGGCCTCTTCACCAGCACTGGTTTGCAGGCTGGTTTGGGAACAGAATTTGAAACTTATGTAATCATGATGTCTGTCCATAATTTTTCGTTATGTGGATAGTACTTATTCCAAGACTGAAGTCTATAATTCATTGCAAACTCGTAAAAAAAAAACTCATACCCGATTGCAAATTGCAAATACAAAAGGAACATTTGATACAACTGCAAGAAAGTAATACATAACTAGACATAAGAAATAAATACCACCGTGACTCATAAAGCTACTGGGCTTGACTTCTTTTTTCAAGACAAAGGAAGACAAAAGATCCTACTATTCTTGTTAGGATGTTGAATAATCTTTCAAATGTCTGGGTAACACATGACTAGCAGCATACAAATAGTGGCATGAAGTAATTAGTTCTATGTGTTACCGCTACCGTGAATGGTTTACAGCATAACAAAGATGAGTCCGGCGTTCGTTGACAAAGAAAACATCGGGCTTCCGGCGCGTAGGTGAACCCATGGCATTGCGGGTCAAGTGATATCTAAACGTTTGGGTATGTGTATTTATACATGTATACTGTAGAGGAAGCCTCACAACTGGACTTACGTGTTATTGAAGGCATCCAATGCAATTTCAGGGCGGCAAAACTGGAAATACAGTACTCTGAATAAGGTAATCTGTATGATATTAATTAACGTCCCACATTAGCACATCTGAGTCAGTATTTCATACTTGAGGCATTTAAAACAAGCCCTAAGATTAGTCCTTTATTTTGTGGGTGGTACCCTTAAAATCAAGCCAGGTCCTTCCAGTAACCGTTTTTCGTCAGAATTTCAGGCATGTTTGCTCCATGAATGTCGATATACATTGGGCCACTGTTGTTTCATCCTAGCATGTAGATAATTGACTAGAATATCGACTTTGAAAAAAGCCCTAAAACTGTACTGGATGCCTTTAACTCAGACCTCCAGGCCGGTGATTTGACATTGTTTCCCATGTTTGCCGTCGCCGGACAACTGTTTGCTGTGGTCTCCCGTGCCGTCCGATCATTGTCCGACCAGTGTACCTAATCTCGATCTCCAAGCAGATATTGTGACACTACCTTCCTAGCCTCTACCTGTCTTCAGAAGCGGCTGGAAAAGTAAGAATTGGCAAAATAGGCAGATAACATGCCGGGGAGTTGGTCCGCTAAGAAGTCTATTTGGTCATTCTTTTAAACCGCGCCCGAAGCCTGGTAGAGGCTAGCAAAAACGGGACTGACAAAAGCACGATTTTGGCTCCCAATCTACTTGGTAATTATCTTTTAATAGGTCGAGAATTCGTTTCTTTACTTGTTTGTAAAAATAAGGTAGCTCATGAATGGATTCATGATTCTGATAATTTTTTTTGGCTTGTCGGCCTTCATCGCCGAGAAGAAGTCGTTGTACTATTAATTGCAGGATTTTCTTACATGAAAAGTGCCACAGGTCAAACCTTAGTATTCAAAGTGCCTGAATGTGTGCATCTCGGAACGCGCAGTGTTCACACACGTACGTCATGTCATAGAACAAAAGCGCACTATCCACAAGCCAGCAGCGCTAGGTGATTTAATGTTGAGGGCAGATACCATCGCACGGCATTCTTGGACCGATGTCAGAATGTAAACTATCTGTCAGCTCTGCTTGAGCTCAGAGTTTGGCAACGTGCTGCCCCCAAAAGTCTAACAGTACATAACGTTGTATGTAACTAAGGTAGCGAACAGAGTTCCTATGACTCAGCTCTTTTTAGGTGAAAAGTTGAGTGAAAAGTTGACCAGTCTCGTCCCTGTATTAAAACGGGGTCACAAGTAACAACACATAGTCTCGGGAGCTAGTTTTGGTCTGTCTGTCTGTGTTAGGTGCCAGTTGACAAAGTATACCAAAAAGTTATGATTATAGACAATTATAATTTTAAGAGTAGTTTTAAGACTTATTCGGTTAACAGTGAGCGACCAGCGTTTAATAGTTTTCTATCCATATATCTCATGTCAACGATAGAGTGGTACGAATCAAAGCTGTTCCCTCTATATGAAATATCAAGTTTCTGGATGAAAGTAAACCAACCCAAGTCGGCACGGGCTTTGTTGTTACTTCATAATTGGTTTGACATTTCAAATGATAAACGAAAACAGAGCAGCTGCCAGTTTTTAAACAGAGGTGGCGGAACTTTCACGGGGTTCCCAAGGTAAAGAAATACGACACAAGACAAACACACATGGGTAACAATTAGAGAGACATAAATATTGTCCAGAAGGATGATCTGGAGTTAGTTAGATCCTGGAGTGTTGATGGGCCCTGTGTCACGGTCAGGTTTGGCTACACATTTTTGGCAGCTACTTTCTAAGTGACGGAGACACATTTGTGACCATTTGTTAACCTCGCTTCCCAGGCCGATGTAGCCGGCAAACACAAGTACCTGGCCCTGGCAGTATCTAGAACTTAACCACAGCCGGGAAAGCCTTGGAAGCTAGGCTATGTGCTTTCGAGCTGAGCTTACTTCTCTTTTCTAACCTGCAAATGCACATTCTTATAAGCTTACGGCCACTTCCTCATTCATTCATCGTGTCTTCGTAGCTAGTTTGATTATCTTCCCCCTCCAACCAATTTGTTGGCCTAGAATCCATCCCTAACAGCTATTTGCCAGTTCTTAGTAGCCTCTATCAGGCTTCGGGAGGCGGGTGGAAAGAGTAGAAATCGGCCAAATAGAGAGATAGTTTGTCAGGGGAGTTGGTCCGCGGCTCCCGGGGGCTAAGTTCTTAGTAGGACGGGCGGCGGTGACTAGTAGAACCGACAAATGATGAGGATGGAGTCCGAATACCAATTTGTCGGACTTTCCACAAAACAAGTACAATGCGTGTCAACTCCACATGAAGTTTGTTGTGGTCCTCAGCGGTATAGTCCACTTGTCGTTTTGTACGTCCGTCCAACAGTCGTGTTGACATAACGGGCCGAACCCGAGACTCTGTCCGGTTTAGAGTAACCCCCGCCCAGACGAGACAGTGTCACCTTTGCCACCCGTGTTGTGTCAAGTGGTTTGTACAGGTCGACTTCGTGCGGCCCTGGTTCACACCATGTTGATACTCAAAGCAACACACAAAGACTTAAGTTATAAGTCGTGTTTTGTCCTCCTTTAGACAGAATAAAGTGGGTCGCTCTTTAATTTCCTGTGGTTAGACACAAAAGCCGGAAAGACCTAGAGGTTAATGAAATTTACACCTTTGTGTTATTGCCCCAGTTCTGCAACACAATTTCATAAAGGGTTATTATTCTAAAAACTGCACGAACCTTCGAAGCTCATGAAAAATTACGACCTTGTAAAATGTTAGTTCACTATTTGGTAAACAACCTGATCACCACTTTTAAGACTTTTAATGATGTAAGAGTGCTTTATATATTTAACGTTGTATATAATAAATACAGTATTGTACCAAAAGATGCAACTGTTACTAGCATAATATCTATTGTTTATTATTTAACATTTATAACTACTGTAAAACTATGAAGGAAACAATAAGGCGGATTTATAATGTAGCCTCTACCAGGCGTCGTGAGACGGCTATAAAAAGAAAGGAAATTGGCGAAATAGAGACCCGGGTGCGGCAAAAGGTACTCTGTAGCGGACCAAGTCCCTCGGCATGTTATCTCTCAGACTCTATTCGGCCAATTTCTACATTTTTGAGCCGTCTCCTGAAGCCTGGTAGAGGCTACTTTATAATATGATGGGTAACCTTGACCACTTTTCATCCGTTTTCTTTTTCTGCATTTAGAAACAAATCCGCCAGGCGGACATCCGGCTGATGCACACCTTTCTGGCCGTGAACGAGGGGATAGAGGAACTGAAGTGGCTGATGGACAACTCCCTTCACACGCCCACCAGCAGCATGTGTTCCTCCCTAGCCAGTCTTGTGGACAGTCGGGACGTCCTCAACACCATCTCCGAGGAAGGCGCGGGGTTTTCCCCGGAATCCCCCATGAGGATCCGGCGGAACAGCGATCCTGGGTGCCGTGGGGGAGATCACGATCATGATCACGACCAGAGCTCGGCCAGATCACAACAAAGGCGCGAATCTGACCAAACTGCGAGGACGATCAAATTCGGCGACATCTCGCCGCAACAACTGCCGAGAAAAATAAGATACGGACTCTCCTCGCCCGGCACATCGCATCGTAGGCTGGACCCGTCTTCTCAAGCCGCTCCTTTTGATAAGTACTTGATGCCAAACGGCTCAGTGTCGACTGGAAATACAAAATGTAAGGACCTTGCGTCGGCAGGTACAGTAGCACAGGGGACAGAGGACAACTGGACGCTTCTTGTGTAGATATGTAAGAAAACAACGATAGAAATAGTAACCATGTAGTTATATATATCCATATGAAAATATTGTACAGGGAAAAGACGGAGTAACCAGCGGTATCTTCAATATGTTTTGAACGGTCACGCTACACAATGCAAATACAACGCAAATGAATTATCTATGTCACTGTGTGAACATCTATTGAGCCAACACAGACAACTGCTGCTATTCAGATGAAATCTTTAGGAATCCATGAATCCAATCACTGAGTTTCACCACCACAAATAACATGCTACAATTTATGTGTTTGTTTAAGCCAGGAATCTAAGAAAAATCGATAAAAGTATCAAGAGCACTCTTTTCTACCCATGATATCAGATTAGCCGATGTATATGCTTTCATAATTCATCATTTTTAAAACGGAGCAATTTAGAAGTATACTTAAATAGTATTAAGTAAACTGCAAGACCATATTAGACGAGAGACGCGATAGAAATTACTTATGGTATACTCAGCTCAAGTTATAAGTTTAAAAAAATTATATTGATGGCATCTACAGCTGAAAAAAGTCAGTAATGTAACCTTTATAACATCTATGAAATAAAAGAATTTGTTGAACATTGAGACTGTGTGTATTTGTGTGTGTGTACGCATATGTGTATTGCATGTTATGTACAACTCTAGTAGCACTAGTGATAGGCTTATATAGACAAAATGTAAAACAGCATCTATACATCGATATGATATTGATTATTTCTAATAGAGCAAACGAAATGGAAGAAACGTTCATGTCGTCTGATTTCTGCGTCATCAGTGACGTTGACATGCTAGACGGAAATCGTAACGAATCTATTGGTCAAAGAAGTATGATACTGTATCGGAATTTTACGCTATGTGTTTAATTAATATCTCTGGGCTGCTGACATTTCAAGATAATGAAGTAAATCAATAATGGTGACCCAAAAAGGTGACATCAATAGATTGGGTCTGTGTTGGATAAAGGGCCGCACAAATTGGACATGTATAATATGAGTCTGGCGCTCCAGACATGGTAGATTTTAATATCGAATTGAATTTCGGTCGTGAATCGTAATTATACTAAGGCTGATTTGATTACATGGATGACATCCTCTTGCAACCCTAAAACTGATGCGAGCGTGCGAATTAAAAAAGTTGCCTGGGGTGTGAATTAAAGATATGGACTTCGTACTTTTTTCTCTTTCTTCAAGTCTTTCTCTTTCTACATCTAGATGATCTTCTGAAGTTATTGCGGCCTACCATAAATACTGTAGGAAAAAAGATATTTTTCGGATATAATGTAACGTTATCTCTGCTCTAGATATCTGTTACACGTTCAATATACCTACGAACTACTAGACGTACACTTGCATAAATTAGCCATTTTGACCGTACGGACGTTGACATGACCTCTGGGATGGGCATCTGACCTTGGTACAAACATGGCTGCTGTACAGTTAGTAGCGTCGCTTTTAGCTGAGAACGTGATCGTTCAGACGACTCTGGTCCTGTTGGCGGTGTTCGGTCTGACGTCCTGGTACTTCAGCACCCCCGGGAACCTACCACCCGGCCCCAGGGGCTGGCCAATCGTCGGGAATATGCCCTCCCTCGGGAATGTGAGCAAACTTTTGATATATATAATAAATTTGAAAATTTTGCACAGTTTTAGCTGTTGTAAGATAGACCGTCAGCTCTACATGCTGCATAAGAAGGTTCTTTATTCAACAAACAGCGAGTTTTCACATCCCACGTTTCGGTGACTGCCTGTCACCTTCCACAGCCTGGGCAATAAAATTTATGATTTCACAAATGACTGGTTCTGATTGAAGAACTGCAGTTAGGTGTCGCTGCTGCAATGTAGATGTGTGGTGATTGAGGATTTCAGGTCACTGAAATTATTATAAACCATTGCATAAATTTGTTGTCTATGGTCCTACATTGTAGCTTACCATTTTCATTTGCTTGTATAATTGACATAAAGAGCATACGACTTTACCCAAACATATTACCAGTATATGATCTTACAAATAAAGCTTGAGATTATATATAGCTTCAGAAGCTAGTTCCGACTAGTCTCTATCATTTGCAGGCAAATCGCTGTCTAACATTGACGCAATGGGCAAAGACTTATGGACCAGTCTACCAGCTAACAGTGAGGAGGACTATAGTGGTTCTCTCCGGATATGACATCATTCACGAGGCCCTGGTCAAGAGAGCGGAAGATTTCTCCAGTCGACAATTTGGTCCTTCGATGAAGTTTATAAATCCACAGCAACTAGGTAAATTCCTTTCTGTAGTGCCAACAGATCTTGAAAGCACAAATTATAAATCTTAAAATTCCAATGCTGAGTTTGACTGTGTAAGAAACAGGAGGAGCCAGTAAAAACCCCTCTGGTCCCGGGCCGGGGTTCGAACCCACGACCTTCCGGGCACCAGAGCTTCATAACCAGACGCTCTAACCACTCCGCTAAAAGGTCTAGACCCGTTTGCCGGAACTGTTGGTAGTGCCTATAAACCCCCCACTGTTACAACTGTACAATGGCGTACATTATGATCATTCTTACTTTTTGGCTTGTTCAATTGTACAACATACATATACAATTGAGTTAAGAAGCTCTTTTTTTTTTACACAACCAAGTGTTTTATTCACAACATTTCGGTGACGGTCAAAATATAGCAGCAACACCTGTGCTGCAGTGCAATGTGAACCAGTCAGAATTGCCCTGAGGAAGGTGACAGACCGTCACCAAAACGTCGACTGTGAATAAAACACTTGGTTGTGTAAAACTACTGGTGAAACTATTCATGGATATATATATGTTTGTCCCATATTCAAGTTTGAAAAAGATAATTGTTGTTGAGAAAATAAACAATGTCACGAGAGTTTCTGCTACCGGTATGTGATGTACGGGTTGGCATTCATTTCCAGGTATCATCCAAGCTCCTTTTGGCACTCCGTGGAAAGAACACCGAAAGTTCACACTAATGTCACTCCGAGAGTTTGGCTTTGGGAAGAGGAGCTTAGAGGGGAAAATCTTGGAGGAGTCAGTGGCTCTACAGGTAGAGATCATGAAGATTGGAAACAGGCCATTCGACATGGGCCGTATGATCCAGAATGCCGTCACCAACGTCATCTGTTCCATCGTGTTCGGATCAAGGTGAGTGAGTGATAAGATCGTGATAAACATTTCATTCGTTCATTCATTCATTCAGATTCATTGTGTTTACAGAAGGAAAACATTGTTTTTGCTCTGTTTCCTCTTCTCCAAACCAACAAGGTCAATGACCTGAACCAGACGTCTATCACCATGGTTAACTAGTGTTGGGTTACATCATGTTGCAATTTTATAGCAGGAGGGATTTAGACTGTCAGAAACCTGTTCATGATCAACCAGAACACTAACACACATAAAATACCACATGTTAGGCCTCAAAAAGCCTGCTTTGGAGGCTATAAATGTCAGCCACCATGTTACAATGTCCTTTTTCTTTCCGTTCTAAATAGATGGGAATACAAGGATGAGAAGTTCACACGACTTATGGATGCCCTCGACCGAGCGTTCTCCGTTAACTTTGTTAGCCAACTGTCCATATTTTTCCCTGTCCTTCGGTTTGTCCCAGGCTTGGGAAAAGGTCTAGAGATGGCTCGAAACCTTGTTGATATCATTAAAAGCTACATCAGAGAGGAAATTGACAACCATAGGAAAACCTTCGTCCCCAATGACATCCGGGACCTTATTGACTCGTATATCAAGGAAATGAAATCTCGCGAGAACGAAGACGGAACCACGTTCACTGAAGACTATGTAGAGATGGTGTTGTTTGACCTGTTCATTGCCGGTGCAGAGACCACCTCTACTACTCTGTACTGGGCCTTTCTACACATGATTCTTAACCCAGACATCCAGGCAAAGGTAGGAACTGGTGCAGCAGTATGGCATTCTTTTCGTGTAAAAATTGACATTTCCGGATTCCTTCTTATCTGCTCTGTTCAAAATAATTATATTGCTCATATTTATGTTTACCGAAGGAAAACATATTGTTTTTGCTCTGTTTCCTCTTCTTCTCCAAACCAATGAGGTCAATGACCTGAACCAGACGTCTATCACCATGGTAACTAGTGTTGGGTTGCATCATGCATTTGCTTTGCAACTGTTACCTTCTTAATTTGGTCTTGTTTTACTTTTAGGTCCAAGAGGAGATCCATTCTGTCCTGGGACACGACAAGCCGCCGTCCACCGCACACCGTGACCAGATGCCGTACACGGAGGCCGTCCTGACGGAGGTGGCTCGCATCGGCACCATCCTGCCGAACAGCGTCATACACGCCACGTCACGCGACACAACGTTACGTGGATACCACATTCCTGGGAACACAACAGTGCTGGTAAGATTGCATCCTCACTTTTCCTAGAACTATCGTAGAGTGGAACTCGCTGCCACCATGTACTGAGTTTGGACATCATAACCAGATAGCTTTTAACAAAGCCTTCCACAGTTACTTTACTTTATTCTTTATTTCAGGCGCAAATTGGCATTGATCACTAGGTTGAGTTTAACAGGTCGTTCAGTGTGATTTAACCAGCTGCTGCCGCACCACATGCTTGCAAAGTTGTTATGCCGAAGGGCTTTACCAGCTATACAGATACAGATATTATTTGTCTCCATTCTCATTTGAATATGGCATCCAATTTCCTGAGATCCGGTCTTCACTAATTAAGATGAGAAACCAACGATATGTCCATGTGTCTCTCTTCTTCAGCCTAACATTTGGTCAGTTCACCATGACCCTGAACACTTCCCAAACCCCGGAAAGTTCGACCCTGGCCGCTTCTTGGACGCCGAGGGACAGTACCGGAGGGATGACCATGTCATCCCGTTCTCTCTCGGTAAGACATGGACTCAAACTTTGAAATACTGCTAAATGTCCAGCCCACAAATTGGGTTTGAGAGACAACTTTGAGCCACAACCTTCGACCTTTTGTCTGTTTCGTGATTTTGAGGACAATGAAAGTTTTTCTAAAGCATTTGAGAACTCTGTTGTTGTGTAGGTCCACGCATGTGTCTTGGGAAGCAGTTGGCGGAGATGGAACTCTTCGTCTTCTTCACGTCCCTGCTGCAGCACTTCACCTTCAAGCTGCCAGAGGGCGCACCTACACCATCAACCATTGGAACACATGGCATCACCCACTCTCCCAAGAAGTTTGAACTCGTAGCTGAACCATTGGCTTGAGTAAGAGGGTCAAATGATTGATTTGTTAAAGTAAGAAGTATTTTGAAAAATAACCAGATGGAAGATGAATATCAATTCATATTTACATGTCTGTCATCATCTATACCAGAATTTCCCTCAGTTGATAACTAACCAAATTTGTATACTGATGTGTGATCATAACCACATGGTAAAAATAGGACAGTACACGAGAAAGCTCCTAAGTGTTAGTTTTAAAGTCTTCCAAAGACTGTACAAGTTAATAATCTCATCCCACAGTACTACACAGTCTCTTGTGGAGTAGAGTATGAATACTTCAATTACTCTTAAGAAGTAGAAGATGGCATACAGTATGTTCTACATTTACAATTGTCAATTAGCTATTAGATTATTTGTATGCATTCAAGGCCACAGTGACAGAAAATGTCATGCGCTTTTCATACATGATGTATCATTCTGAAAGTTACTTATCAAGTGAATTGTTCAAATTCTCTTAAGTAAAAAATTGTAACACAGTCCATTTTCAAAGATTCCGAGCCTACTTTTTTAGTCTTAGCACCACTCTACATTATCCTACAGCTAGAAATCAAAAAGACTTCATGTATTTTTTGTCCATTTGTTGCACAAAAGGAATTGATACAGGTCATGTACAGGACAGTGTTACAGTTATCAGTACCATTGTTTGTTGTATATATACATAAGGTAGATACCGTGCCACATGGCCGATTTCCACACAACATTTGATCAAGAAAACAAACAGAGTCGCGCTATATATAAAACTACTGAGCTCAGCAGTCACATTACCTCACCATTACTGGTACAACATGGCAGCCCCGTCCATGCTTCTCCTGCTTCTTGGTATTGCAGCTGTGTGCAAAGCAGCCGTGAGTATTGTTTTGACTGTCTATTAGCATTAGCTATGGTAAAGACAAAATGATTAACGTTACATCTTGGTTCATAATAATTATGTCCATGTAAGTCCATATATGCTTCTTCAGCCTGGCTACAGCGAATACCAAAGGGCTAGTGACGATTATTGCTAACATCATATACTGGTACCGGTTTTTATGACAGCATTGTTTCTTTTCACAATGAAGAAGAGATTATTTACCTTAAGTAACAAGAGATCTTCTAAAAGTAAACATATCAGACCAAGTGTTGTGAACTTTGGGACAATATTGGTGGGTGTGCCATCATAAGCGTGATCATCACTACTGTAGGATCTACGTTGTCTTCCTCTGTAGACCGGTGTCACCAGATGTACTTCTACCTTTGACTGCCAGTGGGGCACACAGTGCTGCCAGAAAGACGGAGAGCCGTGGTCCTTCTACTGGTACTATAACGGTACGTCAAGCTGTCTTTTCTCAGGCCACGTATATTCTGACTCTGAGAGACACTCACAATTGTGCAAATTTAGTCAAAGCTTAACTTGTTACTGGATGTTCTAAACTTCGTATGTCGTATGTGAGAGATGCCTGCAACATTCAATACTTTCCTAGATTGTTAGCTTGAATCCATATCCATATCCATTCCACCACTGATTTTGTACTGTATACATTTTGATACCATATGCAAACACACTGTATTCCACAACCTTGCAAAATCGTTATCTCTGTCATTGCTCAACACCAATTCAGGCGGCACGTTTTCAGACTCTGACCTGGGAACGTGCGGGGCTCTGGGGCAGGAGGGACAGATCTGCTTCGCCACCAACTCGTACGACCCCTGCACCTGTGCCACTGGCCTGATGTGCTGCCCCTCGGTCGAGCCGGTCGACCCCCCGCCAGGCTGGCCCTCAGGCTTCCCGTTCCGCGCCCACACCTGTCAGCGCGGTGGAGACCCTTACGCCTGCATCTAGGCCGTCATGCAAAGCAAATTTTCTGTTGGAAAATTCTCAATAAACAGATCTAAGTTGTAACTCGTTTCTCTGTTGTTTAATGTTTAATGTTAAAACTTTCCATCACAACAAAGTTCTCTCACCAAGAGTTTCTCTTTTGTTTGTTTCATTCGCATAGAAGTTTAGTTTTGTTCATGTATCCATCAGTTATTAACTCTAAATAACATAATGGCTGAAGGCAAGGCGAACAAATCAACAGGTAGATCACAGGAAAAGGCAACTTGGTCAAGGAAAATTTTGCATCAGCTGCTTGACTTTTTCACATCTACAGTTCAGATCATCCTCCTTTGGTCTGTTAGGCTCCTTTAAGGCATGAAGCTCTTGTAGGGAAAGTTGTAGACCATTGATGACTTGTAGCATTGCAGTGATTTTGTTCTTGCATACCCAAGAGGGATTTTCCCCTGTCTTTTTTCCGACAAGATTCTCTTCAATTGTATCCAACAGAACAGCCAGTCTTCTCTCAGCATCTTGGTCACCAACGGCCTTTGGGAAAAAGATTTTAAAAATTTACACCATCGCCTAAGAATACGTCAATGAAGGTTAGAAATCCAGGTAATAAGATACACACACACAAAAAAACAGTTACTCAAGCAACTGGATATGATTTTGGAAACGGTCAGACGTTTCAGGTAGCATCCACTACCTTTCCTCAGTGACACTAAGAGACTGCAGGCGAATTGCAGGTTTATAAGCATGAATTATTGATTGATAAGCAAAGTAGTGAAGACAATTTTTTGAAAGTCCAAAAAGAAATAAAAGTTAAGACAATTCAAGACAAGGATGATGCAAATTAGTGAAGAAGCTCCTGTTGTTTCAAAGTGTAAGAAACTTGAGAATTGTAATAAGATACAACTGTACTACAATGTCTAACATTATGTTTATCTTTCCAATGTTGTAGATTCTACATCTGATATTTTCAGTGTCTAGCAATATGTTTTTTGTCCTTATTTCAATTAAGGTGGTCCAGAAGGATAGCTGAGGCATATTTAGAAATACTACGAACTCTATCTGATATGGTAGTCTTTTGGGTCTATTTTTATAATTTTCTTTCGTCTTGTCACTATGGCCACATTTTGGCCGCCAAATTGACCGCCAAATTGTGCATTTTTTTCACGCTCCAGCCAGGCCCCAGTGGGGGTGTGCACATTATTTTTAAAAGCTACTCCGCCGCTCGACCAATCAGGCTCGCTGGTCATTACGTAAACTGAGAGCTTCACTTTCATAATTTTTGGGAAGGGAAAAGACACTGGAAAAGAGGGTTTTACTGAGCGTTTGATGTCAGTTGTTTGCAAAACGTTTTGGGTAAAAGCCTGCCAAATGCAAAGAATAATAATTTTCTGAAAACACAAGCCGTTTCCATTGTTTATCACACTTCGTATCGGCAAAATGTTGTCAAGTTGCAACACACAACCAGAGATATGCAGCCACACAAATCACCAAAAACGCCAGAAATAATCTGACAACTTCCTATATAAAAACATTCGACTGCCAAAAGAAACGAAGCTGTCTGCTTTGAGCCACAAGTTAGATCTCGGTTTAGTTATGAGCGGCCTGGCGGACCGGGTCACTGCATGCATAAAGAGCCGCGCTTGCTAGTTCATACTCGGCCGTCATAATTTTATGCGGCGTTATCCTTTGTGTTCTTTCATGATTTTCACAGACAACTCATTAAGTAATTTTCTACCGAATAAAAACGCGTCTCTACCTGTGCACTGTCTTATTACTCTGAGTTTGTATCGACTGCAACACGTTTGTAACTACTAAACGTTAACGTTACGTTCTAGTGAACAGACATGATAAGAACTACTAGTAATTTTTATAAAATCTACGTTTTTATTAAAAAATACGATACTTACAAACTTCAGCAGAATTTTTACATAATCTTACGGTAACTGCTAACAATAATCTTTTACGATTTACAGCATACAGCAAATAGTAGCCGCTTACAAAAAAAATCAGTTCCAACAGATTTACAGAGATAGTCCGTACTTTTCAGATAGAACATAGAACGTCGTGCGTGAAAATTATTTCCACAAGTCTAGGACAACGTGCAACGTAAATTCACATAATCAACAAAATTATACTCGCTCATAATCCCATACCACGTCCGGGCAAGCTTTTTTTCCAGGGCTATCTACTCCGGTATCGCGCGATAACTTTTCAGTGTTGTGATCTTGCTGATCGTCAATCTCCTCTGGGGGTAGGCCTAAAAAACAAGTCCGTAACTCCAGAATACCCCGGCAGATTTTCTCCAATAAGGTCTCAGAATAGTCCATAAACATTCATCTGCAAATCTACGTAGGATACGGCCGTGAAAAAGATCGTCTACCGGCCCAAATGCTGGCGCAAAGCGCACAGCTTTCTCCGCTCGTAAACAAGCCACGCCATCCGCCATTTTGGGTGAGTCACGTGACCCCTACTCGCGCGAAATCTTAGCGTTCTTTTTGGCTGTTCTTTTTACTGGACATATCCCCGGCCTGTTTTTCCAAATAGCGCCGCAGTAAGCTAAATACAGCGTGCTGACAGGCCAATGACCCATTTTTCGGTGGGAGGGATGGGCGCCCTTGGAATGGCGACAAAAAATTGGCGATTTCGGCTCTTTCGGGCTTCAAAATGGACATTATGTAACTCCTACGACATATACAGCATTTTAAGAATGAAACTGTGGAAAAAATGTTCATGGAAAGAGACAAAAAGGTGGTATTTTTTGAAAGATAAGCTTATAAACTAAAATCGTATGCGAGGCCGACACACTGCGCCGCTTTATATGTTGGGGAGGGGTGCTGGCGCATGGCACTGTTGACATTTACGAAAAAAAATTCATAAAAAATCAACACTTTGAGATATTAAAAAATGCTCGCATACGTTTGTTCCTATTACTAATGTGTGCCTTTCAACAAAATATGGTGAATAAAAACCAAAGCGCTGGCCAGAAAAATTGATTTTTCTTAAAAGGGGGCGTGGCTCATAACTCGAGATGACGTCATGATTACGTCATCAAAATTTGCATAAATTATCATCTTGCACTAAGGTACTCACACAAAAAAAATCAATGACCATAGGTAATCCTAAGTAGTATTTTTAGGATGTCCCCAAAGTCCTCAGCCACCCTTCCATACCACCTTAAGGACTACTGTCTTAGGGCAAGTTCAACTTTAAACTAACCATATCCAGAATGTCATCAGCAATCCCATAACCCCCTACAGAGTGTAGTAGAAACAGCATCAACAGCTGACCAATCACAGCCCTTCTTGCTGGGGAATCCAACTGCTGATTGGCTGATACCGCATACAGCAAGTCATGTGACTTTGGGTGGATTTTCGGGAGGAGGCCATGGAGAGTGGAGGCAACATCCTGAATGCATGTCTGGAGAAATGTGAACAAAATAAAAAAACATTTTTCTACAAGTACAAATAGATCTTTCTCACAGAGTTTCACATGTTTTTTTTCACATTTTCTATACATTTTTAAAGGTGCCCTAAGCGATATCTGGCCGATAGTAGGCTGGGAGCATTCAATTTCAAAAGTCTGTCTTTTTGTCACATTTTCACGCAGTATTTTGAACCAACCCCATCCTATCCCATACCGATAGTCATGGAGCAAAAATTCGATGCCGCTTTGCCGTACGAACGCCGTGAAAAACTACGTGCCTCCCGCCACCGGCAGTGGTGTCGGCCATTTTTGAAATTTCCGAGCGCTCGCGAACACTTCCGACTTCTTCCGACCAGAGCCGAGGACGAGTCACGTGGTTAACCACGAACGCGCTGAATCAGTTACTGCAGGTCATCCTGAGTTTCCGCTACATATTGATACATTTCGCGTAATGTCATAAAATTCGTTTCTTGGTATGAGAAACTGTATGAATGTGGCTACCACATGCGATATAATAAGTGATATGATAACATTCAAGTATATACAAAAAGAGGAATTGAATACAAGGTTCTGACCATTCAAAAATCGTCAAATTTGAAGTCAATCGGTTTCGAACTCTTGCGTTCGATCCATGGAACCAAGGCAGTGCGTTCCATTTTTCGCGGAAGTTCCCGAAAATTGCCGACGGGAAACGGTTACTTGGTGGATTTTTGGGCCGATTAAATGGAGGCCCCGATAAATCAAGCAACTTGTCTCTGGGCTAGTTTCTGTGCTGATTCAAACGCCAAACGTATGAAATAATGATGCAAATGTGCTGATACTTGGTGGTATGTGTCAATACCATACAGATTGTCTTTTTCTATTTTAATTTTCTATTTTAATGCCCTGATATCGCTTAGGGCACCTTTAACACCCCATATCATGATCTATCAACATTTTTCAGCTACTCACATGACTACACTGTTAGCTCATCACTGCACTGAAAATTCATGAATATCCACACATGAACTTGGTAAAAATAACCTATAAAGTCTCCAGATATCTCATGTTTAAATGCTTGACAATTGCGATAAAGATGTAAAGTTCTCTAACATTCACAGTGTAAAGACAGAAACAAAAGAAAAATACTGGTAGCTAGAACCAGAGATAAAAGTGAAAACTGTACTCGAGTGAAAAGCTCATCTGTGTTGGTAGAATCCATGGTTGTAAAAAAGTTCGAGCTTTGTTTCAACACAAGAAAGGATTTGATGCACTCCTGACGTCATCACACTTCCAACTTCTGGAGATTCAGCAAGTGCATCACACATCTGACGAAGGTGGACGAGATTGACCGAAAATTTATGGTAAGTTCCTTTCTTGTGTTGGAACAAAGCTTGAACTTCACAACTATGAAAACTGTACTGTTTTTTTAGAGTGATATACAGGTGTTTTTACCATGAATGCCTGCTGCTGTTCTGGTGACTGAGGTAGGTGACAGCAGGCCAGGTACTGCAGACAGGAGTGTGGAGGTACAGGACTGAGGAGCAGCAGTCTACACGCCTCGCTGTACCACCAACCAAACTGTACCAGCACATACCAACTCTCAGGGCCGCTACACAGGGGAGAATTGTAAAATTGGGAAAAATTTGAAGTCATCCTCAAAGTTGAATGAATACCCTCTCAGTCTCTGGAAGTCTGAGGGCAAATTTCAAGAAATGACAATTTATACCTTCAAATTAAGACTCCAAATAAACTGCGGAGAGCTATGATTGTTTTTCCATACTTAACAGATAATCGACCAGAGAGCAAAAGTCAATGTTATGAGCAATTCTGCAAGCTATAAAAACACTGTGTTGACATGACAGAACATTGACGTACCAACTGATGCCAGGTGCTTTTGGGCAGACACCTGCTTGAGTTACTTGTGTCCAGGTCAGCTGACATCCAGGTGACTGTACAGTCTGTATTGTCCTGCAGATGTTCTTCAGATGCTCTTGGCAAGTTGCTTTGCTAAGACCTGAAGATGCAGACAAGCATGCATTGTATCATTGGTGTGAAAGAAATCAGAGAATGACTTTTACTAAGAAACATCATCTGTTACTTGTACATTTATCGTACACATGAGTTCTTTTTTCTTAGACCTATTCTGCATAGAAGTACCGGTATCCTCAGTTGTCTTACCAGCAGGGTGCAGTATCAGCAGGTGCACCAGGGGGAGCTGCTGCATGTTGTAGGTTAGATGGAGAACTGATGTGGGAGCCTACAAGCCAAACAGACAAAACAACAGAAATTATAACTATACAGAGTAAACCACATTTGAATTCCCAAATACTTAGGTCCACGGCTAATTGGCTACATTATGCAGAATTGGATACTATTCTTTCTGGTGTTTCTTAACCAGCCATTTTTAAGATGGAAGGAAAAGAGCTTTGAAGACTGTATGTGTACCTGGCCTTGCAACTTGCAAAGTTCCAAGATGAAACACTCGTTAAAGACTCTCAGCAGGTTGAGTACAGACGGGGAGCCAGCTGAATGTTCTAATACGTGTCTGTGTGGTATGATGGGGAAAACAGTCATCAAACTTAAAACAAAAACAACAATTCATGAAGAAGGTGTATTCACAAGCATACATATGTTAGAAATGAAGAGTTAAAAACTGATGCATGCAAACTACTGGCCACTTTCTTTTAGAATCAAAGACCTGGAGACACATCATTGATAGAACACTACTTTTGATAGAAGATCTACAATTGCAGAGAAAAAAGTTGACTGACAGTGATACAACACTGGTGAAAACTAGAAAGGACAACATTTGCTTGGAAGCAAATACAGCATGATCACCATCTCCCTCCCAGACAAAAGTGGTATGTATTTCAAACTTACCCAAGTGCAAAACTGGAACAATGTGTGTGTGTGTGTGTGTGTGTAAATAAATTATATAGCAATTAAAACACTTCTTTTGAATTAGAAAAAAACTACAAAATACTGAGAAATATGACAAGCATTGTTACAAAAGTAAGACCACCTCCCTCAACATTACCTGAGAATCTGTCTGGTAACATTGTTCACTGTAGGCTGCAGTACACAGGCTGTAGGCTGTATGGGGAGGCAAGGCAAAAAACATATCTGAAAAAACATCTTATATACAAGAGCAAACCTCTCCTTGGTGCTGAAAACCATCCACACACCTGTCCGTAGTGCTGAGCATAGTCCAAACAAAAATATCATCCACACAGACTGAAGCTGTGGCTGACCTTGGTGCTGAACACCATCCACACATAAGTAAACATACCTGTCCTTGGTGCTGAACACCATCGCCAGACAAGTAAACATACCTGTCCTTGGTGCTAAATACCACCCACCCACAGGCAAACAGACCTATCCCTAGTGCTGAACACCATCCACACATAAGTAAACATACCTGTCCTTGGTGCTGAACTACATCCACACACAAGTAACCATACCTGTCCTTGGTGCTGAACTATATCTACACACAAGTAACCATACCTGTCCTTGGTGCTGAACACCATCCACACAAAGGCAAACACGCCTGTCCCTGGTCCTGAACACCATCAACACACAGGTAAACATATCTGTCCTTGGTGCTGAACACCATCCACACACAGGCAGACACAGAGCAGCAACAACTTCCCACCATAAGCAGACAACATCTCACCAGTCCTCTTGAATGAATAAGTGTCTTCATGTCCTCTGTACTGATGTAAGGCCTGTGTAGGGTGACAGTTTCCACCATGTCCAGTACATCCTGCTCCAGACTGGGGGAGTTAAGTGTCCAGAGGGCACATAAAGCATGGGGTGACAAGGAAACATCATCTGTGAATGGAACACAACAATATAAGAAGGCTGTGGGGAACACAACAATATAAGAAGTCTGGTTGTGTGATTTTCTAAACTAACATAGAGACATCCAGCTGCAGTTATAGAGGGAACTGCTTGGGGTCTCTACAATGGAATCAAACTTGAAGCATATGCATCTACACCAAAAAATTTTAATAAAAATTTCATGTTCAGAGAGAGTAACGCAAACAACTTAAGCTTCAGAGGAATCTAATTGTTTCTTTATCAGGACAAGCATCTGAATAGCATAAGACTTCATTCTTATCCTGCTGTATCTTGTTAAGGCTAATAAGTTTAAAGCTCTAAGATATTACCTGTGACTAGTTTGTTTGAGTACAGTTGTTGCTGTGCACTGACTACAGACTGCAGAAACAAAACTGACAGTTCCTCCCCTCTTGTCTTTCCCTCCAATCCTGCTAGGAGGAGCTTCTCCACCAGCAATGAAGCAGTAGGCATGCTGACCAGCGGGAGACAGAGTTCTGACAACTGGTGTAAAGTACAGGGCTGTGCTGGTCTGGAGTAAAGATGTTTAAAAAATATCACTTCAAATTTGTCACTTAAGGCCGAGATAACCTAATCAACATTCAGGATTGTTGCTAAATGAACAATAAAAGTTCATCTCTCTCAATTTCTACAATACTCTTTGTAGATAAAAAAAAAGTTCAACTGTTAACTTCAAAGTTAATCAAATTTTTTGAAATTCAGTCCATATTTGCACAGTGATCTGTGTTGTATTCAGGCAATACAAGGTAACAAAAACAAATTTAAATAAATTTTGGAAACTTATGCTTCAACATCTGCAAGACATGTTTGTAGTAGATATACACTGTCTCCATAATGGTTACCCTTAACCAGAGGTTGGAGTTTGAATTCTTTATGATGAAACCAACCTTGCTTTTATTCCTCTGTCCTGCTGTAGTTGATCTAAGTCTTCAGACAAGGCATGTAAAAGCTGGGGCAAATGAAAAAGTAGAATATAAGTGTTAATCTATGAGGATATGTGTGGAGGCAAATACCAACTCTTACCCATATTTTCCACAGCTCAAAATCAACAAAATGACTTTTTACAACTAGACCAACGCCATACTGTAACCCACTTACTAGCAATCACAGAGAGCATAAACAATGATTATCACATCACTTAATATGGACATTAGAAGATGTGAATTTTACCCACCTTTTCCAGAGCCAGTTTATTCTGGTCAGAAGGCAGATAGCCCATGGTTTTACTCACACCATTACCTGATGGTCCAGTTATCACATGTCTCAACATTTTCTGTAATATAGACAACACATTCATATCTGTTTGTTGTTTCATGCAATACTGAGATTTGCAATTTTAATACACATTTTACACACCGAGAGCAAATGCAGTAGTGTGTCAATGGTTTATTTTCTGTTTAGCCCTACTTGATTGTACAAATGTATATTGTATTTAGCACTTGATGTTTAGTAACTACATTGTAGGATATTAAGTTTCATTCTATACCCTTTTCTTTTTGTACCAAGTTCAATAAACTTTGCCATACATTGTACCATGTACAATTGTCATGCAATAAAGTTCTTCTTTATTATTCATATGAAATAGAATGTAAAACCACAAGGGTAACATAACTATTTAGTCACTGTGTGCCCTTAACAGATGCTTTTTTCTGTGCTCAAACTTCAGAAGGGTCTATATAAGAAGATTTTTTATTCCCAAAGTGTTTTTGTATCCGATGTTTCGGTGGCCATCTGTCACCTTAACCTGGGCAACAATGACTGATTCTGATTCATACTGACTTTGCAATACAACAGCAATATGACAGCTACAGGATGAATCAGAACTAACGTTAGTCAATGTTGCCTTGAAGAAGATGACAGACAGTCACCTATTAATGAAATATGTTGGGTATAAAAATAAACACTGGTTATTGAATAACAATAACCTTCCCTGACAGTCTTTTGCCAACCTGATGAAACTATTAATGGGTTCAGAAGTGCCTTTCTATACCTTTATGGAAATGGTATATGCAGGCCCTACTAGTATATTAAAGTGGTACCTGTGCCCAGTTGGCTGCCCTTCTCTCTATATCCTCTTGTGGTGAGTCTGTACACAGCACTGTTAGACAGGACTGGAGAATGGAGCAGGTATCACCTTTGGGGAGTAGATGTAGCTTATTAGCTCTCTTGAGGCAGGGCTCGAAATTCATTTTTGAGAATAGGTGCATTGGTGCACCCAATAACCTAAAAACTTGGGTGCACAGAAAATAGTTTGGGTGCACCATATTAGATAAAATAAGAATGTCATCAAAAACTGTTATGTTTTATTTCTTAAAGTGTTATAACAATGATTTTATTATTTTTGTAACACCAAGATGTTAAGAATTAATATGCTGTATACTACAAAACATTTAACATCATACTTAAACCTACGAAAATATTTGGGTGCACTGGTGGATCCACATAAAATAATTGGGTGCACAGCTCCAAATTTGGGTGCACTAAGGTGCACATGCACTCGGTTGGGTTAAGGCGGCCTAGGCTGATATTCATGTTCGAGTTCCGCCGTGTGTCTGCACGATTGCCACAAACATGTTTCGAACCCGAATCATGTTCCACCATGTTCGATATGACGTCATTCGAATAGAACGTGTGTTCGAATTCGGGGTTACCGGCGGTCATTTGTATGTTTCCCCTGTAAACCCGCGTTGTTACGCATTTTATTCACGGAGTATGACTTAAACGGCTTTACGCCCAGCTGAAAACAACATAATTCATCTTTAGAGTAATCCATGTTTACGTATTATCACTTTTTTATCAAAATTGTCCGAGGCTATTTTGCATATAAGTCGAAATTTTTTAACTGTGGCGATTATTTAACAAAAAATGACAGAAAAATAGCCGTTTCTGTCGTTTTTGGCCCAAAAAAACAATGTAACTGTCATTTAAAACAAAATAGCCTCGGACAAAAATAATAAATAGGGGGTTGGCTTTCTACTTGCAAAATATCATGATGAAAGGTGTTGTTACCGCTTGGGCGTAAAGCCATGAAGTAAACAGCTTTTTTTAACCAAAATGTTGATTTTTAACCCAAAAATTCAGAAGTGGTAAAAACAAAATAACCTTTATTCAATGTGTTTCAAGTACTACTAGAACTGTGTGAAGTTAAGTTGTGATGCGACCAAGCTATCAAAAGTTACAGCCATATG